GGACATGACCTATAATATGGTAATTGATTTTAAAAAAACTAATGGAAACTTAAGGAGTATGTGTTCTTGAATGCTTGCAGTGGAACTGCTACTCTCTTTTCTTGATATTATCTATAAACTGTTGTCTGTGAACGTCTGTGCAATTGTTTTCGTAAGCTTGGTGCCTGAACTTTAGTAGTCTACATAGACCGAACTCTGCTCGTTGTACTAAATATCTATACTAGTATCAGTCAGTTTGTGAGTAGCTGGTTTTTCTATGTCTGGTGTTGATGCGCTAGCTTGTTGTTTTTGTATGGCTCAGATTATATGCCCGAGAAACCCGGCGTCGACAATAGTGGAGCTTTGCATCCTCATCTTTACAAGTAGTACAGAACCACCATGGCTGGGCTGCTGAGCAGTGTTTTTGCTGGGTGTGCCTTTGGCGACCATGGCGTGGAGACGACACCATCCAACACGAGTTTGGTCAGCAAAGCCGCTCTGCCTCTATTGCCGCTCACGCCCCCGAGCGCATCCGGTTGGCACTTCTTCCACTCTGCCATAGGTAAGACACTTCGGTTCCTCTCAACTGTTTTTAATTAAGATCTATGTGTCCACGGCCATCGATCCATGGTAGCAGTTGGTCATTGGTTGAGTTCTGCGAACATAGAAGTTTCACACTGCACGCTGATTACCGCAACACATGGAACTGAGTTGATGCTCAGTATTTCACAGTTGACACCTGAACCACTAATCATGGATGATTTGTTTCGGTAGTTAATTGCTCTTTGTGATGAATTTGATGTGCTGGAGTATGCATTCTAGATGTTTGCTCTCTTGGAAATGAGTGGTCCATGGTGTTTATCTGCCTTGAACCTTTCTCGCTTATATATTTTGTCTGTTTTGGGTTGTGTCATTGAGAGAGACCTGACATCGCGGTTTCTTTGAATATGACAGGACCTTCTAAAGGGAGGAAAACCACCCTCGAAGTCACAGGCTTTGGGAGGGAAGCCCTACACATCTTGGTTCAGGTGAGTCCTTGATCTCCCTCCCTCTCTCTCTCTCTCTCTCTCTCTCTCTCTCTCTCTCTCTCTCTCTCTCTCTCTCTCTCTCTTGCTCTGAGATGGTCTAACGATCAAGCCGTTGATTTAGTGTTTGGATCTGTTATTTAATTGCATGCCTGGTAGTTTCAAACACAATGTTGTATAGCTCTTTGTAATTTCTGGTTGCCTAACTAAGCAGTCCAAGCATGTAACTCTAATTTGTGATGGATGTGACATTCACTTTCTAGTGAATTTGTGATGCCGACCAAACGAGCTACGCTACTAATCCTAGCTGAACAAGAAGGTCGGTTCAATGTTGTTTGCTTGCACGAATGAGTCCAAATAGTTTGTGTTAATTTGTTTGGACTTGGCGGGTTGCGCCTTTCTCCTGTTACATGGTTTGAAATGGCTCCTCTACCTTTCTTGGGCTAATAAAGTGCAAGTTTTCCCCCATTACCTATATTCATGTTAGTTGACAATATATACTCCTTCCATCCTGAAATAAGTGTCTCAACTTTAGTGCAACTTTATACTAAAGTACAAAGTTGAGACACTTATTTTGGGACGGAGGGTGTAGTTAGATTTCATGGTCAAGATTTTCAGAGTTAGCCGGATAGCAAGCTAGCTGTGTTATTGTTTTTCTTGTTGTAAGTTGATAGCATCACATATCCTATTGTTGTTGTTCTATCTTCTGAAGTAGAACATGGGAGCGAGATGTGTGTTGGTTTCTTCCTTATCATGTATGTATGCTAGCATGCTTAGCTTGGCCTCCTATGCTATCATGTATGGTTGCCATCTTAATTTCCTTGGCCAAATATATAATGTCTAGCAAGCCTGTACTGCTAATCATGGTTGGTCTACTGGGATGTTATCTTATTATCGCTAGCTCAATGGCCTAGTATCTATGGTTGGTCTACTGCAAAGCATGCCATTGTTTTTGTTGTCCCCTTGGTAGTATAAGCCAAAACTTGGGGTGTGAGATTGTCTAGTGCCTTTTTAGATCAGTCACCATAAAACATTTAGTTTGTGAAGTTGATGCTGCCAAAACTTGGATTATGTGAGGGTCCGTCGTTACTTTTGCTAGCTTATGTGCAATTGACGGGTGTCTTTCCTTTTGGGTTTTGAGCATAGCATGTTTTTATCCTCTCCTTATGGTAGTACCAGCCAACAGTGTGTGTGAGATTGACTTTCTGGTGTCTTTTTTGATCACTGGCTATAGAACATTTAGTTTGTGAAGTTTGTCTGGCCACTGATTCTTTAACTTGTTGCCTGTGTATTTGAAGCTCTGACTTGGAACTTTGTTCCTATTGTCGTCAGGTTACGTGCCATGGAATGGACGGATGATGGTGAGCGACCACAAATGGATCTGGAAAAATGCGCCTTGCTGGTCTAGAGAGTCCTTGGAAGTGGACGGTGGCCCTATTGGTTGAAGGCAGGGGGAATCGCTCGACGTATCTCAACAATCATTAAGTCACATATAGGCCTGGTTGCCACTGGATGGACCGAGAGGGGTCTGTAGAGATATCAAAATCTTATGGTCTAAGTGTCTGCGCTGAATGGTGATACATGCTGAGATACAAGAAGATCCTGGCGAGCGAATCTTGAAGAATACTTTTCTCTCTTGTCGGCTCAGGTGTCTCGGGACTTTGTAAAATTCCGATGGGATGGTGACATATGTTGGCCTTGTCCGAGGGATTGTGGTAAATTTCAGATTGTATTGTGTGGCACGGAGGGAGTTAGTATTGTATTTTCGGTCAATGTCAAGAGATTGGAATGAAAGTGTGGCTCAAATGGTAGTAATTCTTCATGAATGATTTATTCAATATTAATGTATACAATAATAACTGGTGCACGAAAATATTTATGTATTCAATAATAACTGGTGCATTAAAATTTTCCATTAGAATAAGAAATTGCAGTGGTGGTGCTTGGGTATGCATCAGCATTTGAGCATGCATAGGATTGTTTGGCTGACAGTTCTTGTCCTCGCTGACAATGAAACTTGGATGGATGCTAGTTTCATCTGTGTCGAAGCTGGAGGTTTGGGCCTGGATTCTTCTCTCTTTTGGTGCGTATTACTATTTGCAACAAGATTATGTGACAAGGAAGTTGAAGATAATTGATTTGTGGTGCATTTTAATCATGTGATGATTACTAGTTTTGATCGAATCTTGATGATGGTTCAGCTTGAACATGTGGTAATCTTATTTGGAGTGTTATATGCTAGCATCTGTGTCACAAAGACCAAAACATCTTATAATTTGAAACCGAGGAATGCGACCCATTTTCTCTTCTTAGTTATCTTCGCTAATATGCGTACTATTCCTAATAATATGTAAAATCTACTAGGGAAGATCAGTTTTTGTTTTCAGCACTCTGCAAGTTTGTTAGGAGTAGAGACAAAGGAGAGAGCAAGTTTGTTTGGAGGAAAGATCTCTGCAAGTTTGTTAGGAGGATAGATCTCTGCAAGTTTGTTAGGAGGGGAGACAGAGAGATCTGTTAGTAGGAGAGAAAGGAGAGTTATGTTAGTAGGAGACAGAAAGGAGAGTTCCGACTGATGTGATCCTTCGATTCACATCACATACCAACCGATTTGTAGTTAATCCTCTCACTTATTCATCCTCCTCGGAATCAGGCAATTCCCCATTTAATTGAGACCAGTAAATATATCGCCCCTCAGTTCTCATCTTCCTCCATTTTGTTCCATCCATTGGTTGCCATCCATCAAGGGTCTGTCTTACGCCACCTCACCGATCCACGGCCTCCTGGTTCTTCTAAGGCCATCGCTATATATACTAGAAACAGTCATACATCCGCGTGCGGGGTGCGCGTGCGACTTAAGACTTGGGACCTTGGGCGACGGTGAGAAGAAGCGAGGGAGCCGACGAAGCAGCACAAGCCTATTAGGCTGGGCTGGCAGCAGGCAGCAGGAGCCCGACGCAGATGAGGAGCCCCGCCGTTAGGGAGGCTGATGAAAGATGAGGAGCACCGCGGGAGATGGATTGAGGCATGGCGGCGGGGTGGTGCCGTGAGAAACGAGGAGGAGGCCTTGGGTGACAGCTAGAAGAAGCAAGGGAGCCGACGAAGCAGCACAAGCCTATTAGGCTGGCAGGAGCAAGTTCATTGTTGGCGGCGAGCCCGACATTGATGACGCAGATGAGAAGCCCCCGCCGCTAGGGAGGCACGGATGAGAGATGAGGAGCACCGCTGCCAGGGGCGTGGATGAAGATGAGGAGCACCGCGGGAGATGCCGGCGGGGGTGGCGTTGCGTGGTGGTGAGTAACGAGGAGGAGAAGGCCTTTGTTTGTGCTTGGGCAATATTAGCAGTTATGCAATTGCTGTGGTTCCCGTCATGGCGGTGGATGCACCGACTGGCCGGAGATGAATTGGCGGGGTTCGTGTTTATTTGCTCCCAGCGACGGCAGCGAGTGCGCAAGGTCGGAGATGGATTTGGTTGGATTGGATTGGATTGGATTGCATTGGATAATGGGAAGATGAAGATGTGTGGCGGCGACGACGGGGAAGCGACAAGCTCGCGACGACCCGAGCTGAACCGCGCGTGCGGCGTGCCCAAATAAAACATGTATTTCCTTGTTTTTGAGCGGACCAGGACTGTCCAGTCCTGAACGGGCCGGAGCGTCAAATAAAACACGTATTTCCTTGTTTTTGTCACTAGCGGCGAGCAGTCGTGAGCCTGCGCCTCACGTATGTGAAACAGGAGTCGGTCGTGGCTTGCTAGAGACCACTAAACACGTAGAAGTAGACGTAGATGTAGGTATTGCGATCGGTCGTTCCGGTCGAGCAACCACCAACCACAGCCCAACGCAGTCTATCTATATTCACACACCAACAACGAAAAGGGACCAAGCAACGGTGACTTGATTGGCCGGCCACAAATACACCATTGCATAGTTCTTACAGTTTTGACAGCGTCTTTATCTTATTATTACGGAGGGGAAGAGCGGGTTATTCATCCATTGGTCAGCTGATAAAAAGCTGCACCCCTTCGACGACGGCCTCGGCGACGTAGGCCATCATGAAGAACTCAACGTTCTCCTTGGGAAGTGCCCCCTCGCCGGCCAAATTGGTGCACTTAGATGAGACGTACCTAGCAGCCAGTATCACCTCCGGTACACCGCTGTATCGCCCAGCAGCAGCCGACCGCGCCGCCCACTGCAGCCTTGGGATGGCGCCGGTGTAGAGCTGGAGGCACGACCGCATTACCTTCCTGGCCTTGCCGTCCTTGACGTGGGCGAGCGCATGCTCGATGCTCGCCTTGGCCACCGTGGCGTTGGACACCGTCAGCCTGGTGGCGATCACTGCGAGCTCCGGCAAGCCGGGCGCAGAGCGGCAGGAGGGGTCGATGCAGAGTGTGGACACGCAGTCGTTCGCCCCGACGTACCAAGGTCCGAGGTTGTTGCAGAGGTAGTCCAGCGGGGAACATGGCGCGGCGCTCGAGCTTGGCCCGCCCTGAACTTCAGTGGCCGAGGAGAGGACGAGGAGAAGGAAAGCGCCGCCGAGCATAGAAGAGGAGGTGCCCACGGCCATGGTGGCGGCGTATTGTCTCTCGATCTGTCTCACCCTCCCTCTCTCCCATTTGTCTCTTGTTATAAGTCTAATCTTAGTAGGCGGTGTATCATATCATAAATAAAAGAAAATAAATCCATCAAATTTGATCAAATCATTTGAGATATGCTTCATAAATCCATACGTAGGAAGCGTATATCTGAAATTGGACATATGCAATCATAGTACTTCATTGGAAGCGAATCATAAAATATCTCAGGATTACACATCGTATTTTTAGCATATCCAAATCCTTGTATCCAAGAGTAATCATGTGCTATTAGTGAGATCACAAAAGGTCCCTAACACTCACCAACATGGTCACCGCGCTGCTCAACAGTCAAACCAAAGGATGACATGGCAAAGGCATGCCACCACCGCCAGCGACCGGTCGTCATACTCCAGTGTCAATAACTAGTGATTGGAGCGCCATCCTGTGGCGCAGATTGAGAGGAAGCTATGCACACGTTTCTATTTAAAAAATAAAGTCTTGGCCTCTGTCTAAAAAAATCTTAAAAAAAAGTTAATCCTCACCTTCATCTAAAAAAGAAAAAAATTACCACAACAGCCTACTAGCGAGTGCCACTTTGCATAACCCACCATTTAAAAAATATCAGAGGTCCTCATCTCCATCTAAAAAATACATTTAAAAAATAATCCACACCTTCATCTGAAAAATTACAAAAGATTTATCACCGCGGGCAACCAGTTTGCACCACGTGGCATAGCTGGTTGACCGCCCTTCACGCGTAGCTTAATGGTTTTAATGTGATGGCTAAATTAGAATTTACTAATGAGTACTCGCGTTAATTAGTTCCATCAACAAATATGAATTCGCGAGGCCTACAATTTTTTTCTTAGAGAAGTCCCCCAATCCTATTAATATAATTTGTAACAACGCTACAAAGATCATCGGAAGTGACAAATATTACAATCAGGTTCATGAACCTTCCAAACGCCGACTACAAAGTCTACAAGCATGAGAATGAGCCCAAGGTGTGCTTCCGTCTGTCATCGTCCTTTTCTCATCAAAGTTGGACAACCCTTATTTATAGTTGACAGTTGGGAAGTCATTGCGCTAAGGACCCCAAAAGGCTGGCTCACCGTCGACAAAGAAAAAAAATAGATCATAAGGACCATACCCGCAAACAGATCAAGGACCATGAGGGCTGACCCATCCAGACGGATCCACCAGAGATGACGCCTGGCCAAATCCAAACATATTCCCTGGAGACCAATGCTTACATGTGATGACGATATGACACCCGGACATATTATCCAACAGACAACGTGATGCTCCTGTACCTGGGTGCCATGCTGACCCTCGTCGTGTCTTCGCCGCGCGCTGCGGAGGCGGTGCTGCGCACTCACGACCACGTCTTTCGTCATAGACCCACTCCATGGTCTCCGACACCATCATGTACGGCTCGTTTGACATCGGCTTCGCGCCATATGGTGAGTACTGGCGGGAAGCGAGGATGCTCGTGATCACCCACATGCTGAGAGTTAAGAAGGTGCAGTCATTCCGTAGCGCCGCCGCGGAGGAGGTACTGATTGTCAATTAGTATCTCGCATTGGATCTGGACGATGATCTCCCTTTGTGCGGTTGCATTGAGGTATTTTTTGTCAAAAAATATATTTAAGCTTCCACCTGAATTTCATGGCATGCACCTCTTGTGTCGGATGTGGACGAACGGCTAGGATCGGGTCAAAACAAGGATCGATCCGTAAGACGTGGGACACAACCAATCACAATCACAGTGAACTTTGTTTGATCCGTGAGTGGGTGGACCCATGGAAACGTGAAGACGAGGGAGCGACCAATCAGAAAGCAACCGACTGGACTCAAACTCGATGCACTGCCATCAATCCATTCCATGGAGATGGACGGTCAGTCACAACGATCAATGCGAGTCAACCAACCACGCAAGGAAGGAACGAGATCCTTTAATATCATGAAGAATGTTAGGGGAGCTACAGTACCCTGACATCACTTATTCACATTCATATGATTAAGACTAAAATAACTAAAATTAATTTGCAAATTACAAATCTACTGTATACATTTAAAAAATTACATACAAACAAAATTATGGTGTAATAATATTAATTTCATATTTATTTTCTATTATATATAATCTATAATCTATAATCTATAATATCTAAATAGTTCATCCCCATTATGATATTTCTCTCAACATGCAAGCTGTCCACATCAGCAACCATGCCATGTAAGCAAAAACTGATTCCATTTGCAGCCACATCATCATTAACCCTACAGCTAATGGGATCCGGCTTGTCTGCTCCCTTCTCGTGCTCTTATCCGTGCTCCCACTTAATCCTACGGTTGTTTTTTTTCTTTTTCTTTCTTTCTAATCTAATCATTTCCCCCCTGATTTTAAGGGGGTGGGGCCGAACCTTATTTTGTTTCAATCAAATCAAGCCACGTAGACGGGAGCACGGATGGGCACACGACGGGGGAGCAGACAAGTCTCGTCCGAGCTAACACCCACATAATTCTATCAAACAATCATGGGACTCGGTTTTTCCTTAGTACACAACGATCCTGGTAACTGAAGTGACCTGTCATTCAATTTTTCTTTGGAGTAGTATACGCATCCATTATTTTGGTCACTGTCTGAACCGATCCGTCATTTCCTTAGATTCAGTTTTTACTTGGCACGCTGCAGTCCTGGACTCCTTTTTTTTGAAAGCGCGGTCCTGGACTCCTGGTCACCGAAGCAACCCATCGTTTCCTATACATGAACGGACGATGCATCGCCTCTATAACTGGAGGAAGAGCTCGGTGTTGGAATTTTGCTAGTAGGCCTTTGGCCCAAAGCTCAATTAAAATTCTGAAATTCTCTTGGCCCATTCATGCATATTTGTGAGTGGAGTGAATGAGGATAAAGTTTAGTCCCATCCCGGAAGTTGAGAGAGAGTTGCACCTCTTTATAAGGTGAGCTCTTCTACCACTTGTATGAGCATGAGAAGAGGAGACCTACACGCGCTCCTCCTCCTTGCTCGCCTCTCCACGACGCCTCGCCGCGGGTTGCGGGATTGAGCCGAGCAGTCGGCAAAGCTATGCACGTTGTCTATATTTTTGCTGCATGGGAAAATTAATGAGTCATTAATTAATAATTAACGGACGCGTTCATTACTGAACTGTTTCCGATTCTTTTGGATCGTGACGACTCGGGCGTGGGGTTTACACACACGACCTACCTGGCCCGCACTATATAGTCAGGCTGACGTCTACCCTAGCCGCCGCCGCTTCGTATGGTTTCTCACCATCGTTCCAGATCATTGCGCTGTCAAGCAAGTCTTCTCCATCCCTCCTTCCGGCGTGCACCGTGAGAAGGGACAGCAGGCCTCCGGAACCCCGCCTCTCGTGATCCTGTACGGGAGAGGGGCGATCAGGTTTTTGGGGAGCGCACTCGCGCGACTGCTGGCAGCGACGACTTCGCGAACGACGACTTCTTCCCCGACCTCGGCAACCTCGTCCTCGACGACATGGGCAACAACGTCAACGCCGGCAGTGCTGCACCCGCTGCACCGTATGTGATTCTATCCTTCCTGTTCGAGATCGTGGTAGAATTCATGCTTCTAGTATGTGCCCTAGATGTGATATGTTCATCTGCTATGCTAGTTCGCATGATTAGTTTAATCTCTGCTGCTGTGGTCATGATTTATCTTCTGTTTATTCAGATTAAATCTCGTAGAAATTTGCACATATTTCCAACAATCCAAAAACCTGATTATAGGCAATTTACTCCGAGTGGTTTTGCTGCGCATCTGAAGCCGCCTGCCTTTAAGGTGGCGCAATATAAGAGGTGGCGCACGAGAGCAGTCTACTGGTTTCAGACCATGGGCTGCTATGATGCCACCAAGGGCAAGCCCGAGGGCGATCTTAATCCAGCACAGCTGGAAGCTTTTGAGAAGATCGATACCCTCTTTAAAGGCGCTCTTCTGAGTATTCTTGATGACTCCATTGTGGATTCGTATATGTATTTTGACAACGGCAAGGACATGTGGGCTGCGCTCGAGGCCAAGTTTGGTGCCTCGGACGCCGGCAGTGAGTTGTACGTCATGGAGCAATTCTATGACTACAAGATGACTGATGAGCTCCCTGTTGTACAGCAGGCTCATGAGATACAGTCGCTCGCAAAAGAACTTGAGTACTTCAAGGGTGTGTTGCTGGACAAATTTGTTGCCGGAGGCATCATTGCCAAGCTTCCACCTTCGTGGAACAATTTTGCTAAGAGACATGAGTTTTCCGTTGCGGATCTCATTGGTACTCTTGATGTTGAAGAGAAGGCGAGAGCAAAGGACACACGTGCTCGAGTTGCTGAGGGAGGTTCTATTGCCCACATGGTACAGAAGAAGAACTCCCAGCCCAAGAAGTTGAAAAACAATAAGAACAAAACTCAGGGCAAAGGCAAGTTTGATACAAAGAACAAGCCATCACATTCTACCAACTTCAAGAAGAATTCTCATAAGAAGGGGAAGGGACTTTGCCATGTCTGCGGTGATCCTAATCACTGGGCTCCAAAGTGTCCTAACCGCTTTGAGGAGCGCGAACATGAGAAGAGCGGCAAGTACGCTAATGTTGTCATCGGTGATACTGATATGAAGGAATCAGGGTACAGTATTTTTCCTACCATCCTTTCAGTATTTCAATCCCCTGATTGGTTAATTGACACCGTTGCCAATGTACATGTTTGTGCTGACGCCTCCATGTTTTCTTCTTACCAGGCAACAGGGACTTCACCCGTGCTGATGGGCAACGGGTCACATGCCATTGTTCGAGGTGTTGGTATGGTCGATCTGAAGTTTACTTCGGGGAAGACGGTGCGTCTGAAGAACGTTCATCATGTGTCGTCCATCAATAAAAATCTCGTAGCGGTTCCCGTTTATGTCGAGATGGTTTTAAGTTGGTTTTCGAATCCAATAAAGTTTTAATTTCTAAGTGTGGACAATTT